CAGTCTTGCCTCTATCTAGCAATTCTGCCTTTTTTAAAAAAAAAAAAAAAAACATACTTTAGAGCACAATTTAGAACAGTTCAGTCTCTTCTTTCTAACTCTGAAATCATCTATGTTTGGCAACAGTGTTCTAAAAATGGGGGTGGCAGACAAGGTATGTTCATTGCAGCATAGGAACAACCTCCTGTTTAATCTGCCACCTCCCCTGTTTCCTTTTAACTGTCATTTAATGTGGCCTTGCTGATGTGGAGTCTCTTTTGCACCAAGACATGGATTTTCCTTAGTCAGTACAATGTGTGTGATTTAGGCTTTCTGCGAGTAACCGTTGTCACAACCTGTTTTCTCACCTGTGTTATAGTCACAGTTTCCCTGCTGAGTTGAGAACCAGTTTTCCCCAGTCATCAGTATATCTCTAAAACCAATATATACCTAGTTCTACTTTTTAAGATTCTCCCCTGTTTTCTATTTTTCCTAATTTCTTGATTATAAACTTTCATAAATAGAAGCTACATACTCATGTTTTTTAAGTCATAACATGGTTGATTAAATCAAGAGTTTAAAATTCCCTACACACTACCAATTATGTCCTCCTTTTCCCCCTTGTTTTATTTTCCATGGTCCAACTAATTTCACTCTTTTTAGGTTCATGACCTAATATCTGTCAAATTTTCAGTATATAGTTCACTGATGTTAGTGGCTATGAAGTGGTAGTTGATGCATTAATATTAATGAATGAAACAGATTAGTCACATCTGTCTTATTTCAGATAGACACACCACTTTTATATATAACATTGGTTGGTGAAAATTGACTCCATACAACACAGCAGTTTTAAATGGAAATATATTAAAATCAGTATAAAAATAATTCCGACTATATGATTGTTTTCATTGTTTTTGCATTCTCTGTGCGGTCAGGGAAATAAGATGAATTTACATTTTTTTGTTGTATTTTAAGTTAATTTGGGTTGGGGCCATCTTATATTCCTTTACAATTTATGCCTTCATCATTGTCTCTGTACCCTTTGAAAAGAAAGGATTCTTGTATTTCTAGAAATCTCTCTTTAAAAAATCTGCACTCTTCAAAAAAAATCTGCACTCTTCAAAGACTCGGTATTAAAACAGCATGTTTATTCACTCTATTACTTGTGATAAACATACTGAGCTTCAGCGATATTAAATTATGTATATATATTTTTATTAACACAACTCGTGATAATTAAGAGTACATATGAACACCAAAGCATTTCACTGAGTAATGAGAATAGACTTCCAATTACTCAGTCAGTGCTGAGTTCTAGGCATGAGTTTGTGGGCCAGCATTTGTACTCTGAGGGAGGCGTGCTCAGCAGAGCAAATCTTAGGAAAACTTACTGCTCAGGAGGAATATTTTGGGATGCATGTGTGTATGTGTGTGCAAGAGGTTTGTAGGAAATTGTAGTAGGCAAGTCAAATATATTTTATCATGATTTCCATTCCCTCTGTCTTAGAAATGTTATTCGAGAGAGGAGGGAGGCAGGCATCCTCCTGCTTCCTTGCTGAGGGGGCCCGCAAGCCCTCAGTGTCCAGTTGCCTTTGATGGGAGGCTCAGGGGAAGTCAGGAAGGCCTTGAGCCTGGGCCAGGCACTGAGGCATGCAACAAAGGCTGAGAGCAAGAGTAGTGAGCCAAGCTGCTGAGGTCAGGACCTAGTGAATCAGCACTAAGTCTAGCAGGTTGTTATTTGGTGGAGGGTATTTGGTTCCCACGGTGAAAGCCTTGCCCCCTTGATTCTGGGACAGTGGGATCTCAAAAGACTTCAGGTGCCTTCACATACTCCACCTTCACTGCCTCCAGTTGGTGTAGATGAGGATTATGCATTAGCAGTAGAAGTTCTCCATGCTGCCGTTCACCATGTCCCCCAGGCCGCCCCACGCTGGCCCTTCCCGTACAGCACAGGGAGAGGCCCAGGTGGCTCAGGGTGGCATTGGGACTGGTACAGGTTGCGGTCTTTGTTCCGAAACGTAGGGAGCTGTCCTTTCAGACAGGAGGCCTGGAGTGGGCCCTGCGGCCAAGTTTCTGTAGTTACCACCCAGTCCTTCCCACTCTGCTCAGCTTGCAGCATGCTCATGCCCTCGAAAGGCCTCCACCAAGGAAGCAGATAATGGTGTAGAGTGGTGTGGCTGTGGTGTAGCTGGCAGTGGAGGGAGCTCAAGACCTTATTATCATTTAAAACTGTGTGTGTGTGTGTGTGTATATGTATACACATATTATACATATATATGGAATTCCTGTTGTCACAGGTTGTTTTTCCAGTATTATTACTGTAAAATGTATAAAGATACATGTAAAAATTTTTTTTTACAATTTTTTACTAATTTTTACTAAGTCACATAGTTAATTCATCTTAGCTGTCTGTAGTACTTAGAGGAATGATGACAGAGCCATACACTCGGGACCTTGCATTCGCAACAGTGTTGCAGCAGATACCTTCCAGCTCATGTGTGTATTTCTCTAGGGTAGATACTTTGAAATGGAATGACCAGATCAAAAAATATGCAGGTGTTACATCTTGTTAGATACATACAGGTAGATAAGGCCAGATCACCCCCAGAAAAGTGTGTGCTCATAGCAGTGCTGAATGAAAGTTCCCATTTCCACATTCTTCATCTGCTGTGTTCCCCAAGGCTCTCAGGTGTAAGATTTTTTTTTATAATAAATTTTATTTTTATATTCCCCATACAATCGCAACCCCCTTATTTTGACCCCAATCCCTCCCCTCCCGCCCCCTACCCCCCATGGAATGTCTCTGGTTCATAGTTTTTTGTTGATTTTGATTTTCACTTTCTTATAGGTATTCATTTTCCTGGTCCCTTATTTAAGTTTTCTAGATTCCTGCTATGAGTGAGACCATCCGGTATTTTTCTTTTTCTTTCTGGCATATTTCGCTGAGCATGATCCCTTCCAGCACCATCCATGTTGCTGCAAATTGCATGTGTTTATCTTTTTTGGATGCTGAGTAATATTCCATGGTATATATGTACCACATCAGATGTAAGATTTTTAAAGATTATATCTTAGTGTCTTGGTTTCTTAAGCATTTAGCACAGTTACTAGTTGTAAGAATCCCTTTAGAATAAATGAGGACTAAAACTTGAGAAATTATTCATTACGGGTCATTACTTTTGTGGATATATATGGAGACATTTTAACTTTTTTCACATTTTAACTTTTTTACAGAATCAGTTCATGTATAAAGGTTATCACAGAATCATGTCCTTAAAGTTAATTTAATCATATACTTAAAGTTAATTTAATCATATCCTTAAAGTTAATTTAACTGTTATATGAATTTTATAATCAGGAAGTAACATTTGGAGAAAATAACTCATATTGCAGTTTGACTTTCATTTAGCCTTTAGGCTTTCAGTCCCTTAAACTGATTATTTACATGTTTGTTTTTCACAGGTTAACTTTTTTGTGTGTATTTACTTCCTGTGTGTTGCTCTGTATTAGCTGTCGTGACTCCTCTCCTGATGGGCTACTCTCTGCCCAGAGATGGCACAGGCAGTGCTTCAGGGCTCTGCCACCCACAGGAGTGGAAGCAACTTGGTGGGAAAGAACTGGGAAGACTCAGACTTGAGCCTCAAAGAGATACCAGCAGGCTGTTTCCATTCAGTCTTTTGATAACCTTTTGGCCTTAAAATGCTTTAGGGATCAATTTCAGGCTGATCTTCAGGGTAAAAAAGAAAGTTCTCCTGATTAGAAGAGCCACCTTTGGCATATCCAGAGAACTCTTGGAATAATAGTAATTAGAAATGTTTGTGGGCAGTGGTCCTTTATAATTAAAAACAGACTATTTTGCCAAACTATTGTAGTAAGCCTGTTAGATAATATTTTATTAGTCCTAATCTTGTTTTTTTTTTGTTTTTTTTTTTTAAAAACCCTATTTTTATTTCTGGCAAAGTGGAGGTTAGAAATGCTTCCTGATACAATTCAGCTAAATGTGCTTCATAACGTACTATACACACATGCCAGGTTTGTATTATATATTTTTAAAAAATCTTACAAATTTTTTTAATAATTGGGCTGTGTAACCAGAACTTATTAGTGAATGTTTTTCTTTTTCCAAAATATTATAAAATTGTTTTGCAAGCAGTCCATCGTTTTTAGACAGAATGATACCACTCAGATATTTATAGAATATAGTATTGAAAGAGATGGTTCATCTGGTATAGTATCAGCGCACAAATTTAAAATAAATGTGAAACGGGCCTCCCTGGTGGCTCAAGGGGCTAAGCACCGCACTATGAATCAATCCGCAGCCTCTGCAGTCAGAGTTCGATCCCCAGCCGGCCAGGGAGCAACCCACATGGCACAACAGACCTCTCCTGTCTCACCCGTGGCTCCCCTCAGCAGTGTATTTCAGTCAGTCTGCCTGTTCTGTTCCCTGCTCTATCTCTGGTGAATCCTCTCACACCCTACCCCATCCTCACATCTCTGGCCTGTACCCCAGCTCTTGTATCCATAAATAAATCAACCTTTCTAAAAAAAAAAAAAGTGAAGCAAAAACAATCTAGTGGTAGGAAATCTTAAGGCAAGATATTAAGATACCAATAATTTTTTAAAATTTTATTTTAAAAACGCAGATAATTTCTGAAAATTTCAAAGGAGGTATTATTATTCAGGGACAGGCCCTGTGAGTAGAAAATACAACGTAAATTATGGTAACATAAATGTATATATAATAAAGTCAGGGCATTTATGCCAGTTCCAGCTTGTCAAATATTATTTTTAAAATGCCTGGCAGGTTCTCAGTGATTCATTACCATCCTGAAAGTTTCAATAAAATGGCCTTGTTTAGAAATTGGACCTCAGGCCATCCTAGGACTCTACTGTCTCCCTGCTCACACCCTAATTTCTGAAGTTTGAGAGGGAGCTGTGTTCACAGAAGAGATAAGATTTAGGAAATCAAGACTATTGTCTAGGAAAGAAGCTTGAAACATTTCTTTTTTCTCTCCTAGATTGTCCTTTTACTCAGGCCACTCCTCGTTCTCCATGTACTGCATGCTGTTCGTGGCAGTAAGTATTTGTGTCTATGGGTTACAGGTGATGTGCTGGGTGTATGTCATGGGTTTCGGATGTACACTTCTCTGTGGCCACCTCCGCTTACCCTCTGAGTCAACTGGGCTGCATTGTGGGCTGCAATCGTTTCAGGAGGGGCTGTGCATCTGCCAAATCCAGTTAAGTGTTTCAAAGTGTTGTTTGTCCTTCATTTAGAGGTAGCACACAGGCACATGGTCTAGCAAGCTGCACATTGGGTATCTTCAGGATTCTAATGGGGACTCTACTTTGAAGTAGGTTTTTGCTGACGGTGGGAGAAGCCTAAACATCTAGATAGTCAGTCTGCAAGTCTGGTGCTAAGAATTAGTTGATGTGTGCCCTTACTTTGGGTGTTTATTTTCAAAAGAGGTTTTCTGGAACAAACAGCTTCTTTGTAATCCCAGCAGGTTACTGATCTGAAACACTAGGCCAGGGTGACTGCTGCTGCCTGATACCCTTCCCCTGCCGTGGGGGCCTGCACCTCTCGTGCTCAGCGTGGCTATGGGAGCCTGACTTCTGTGCTCCTGAGAACTAGTGGGTGGAGGAGTTGAGTTTTGATTATTGAATATGAAGGCAGCTGCTGTTCGTATCTGAGCAAGTTTTATTTTTCTTCCATTTTCTGAAACATTTTCTGGACTGTTTTACATGGGACTAGGAAGTTGTCAGCTTTGTTGCTTTAAGAGCTTGTCATCTATACAATTTCCAGGTCCAGTTCCAACTACTCGCCACTTCCTTTTAAAAATATATACCTGTAACTATAAGAAAGAAAAAATCAAAATCAACAAACAACTATGAACCAGAGACACACTATTGGGGGGGGGGGCGGGGAAAGAAGGGATTGAAGTCAAAATAAGGGGGTTGCAATTGTATGGGGAATATAAAAATAAAATTTAAAAAGATAAAAATTTAAAAAAATAAAAATAAAAAATATATACACCCAAATGTTTCTGAAAATGTGCCATGGTAAATGTGACTTATTGAAGGTAGTAACAGCAAATACTATTTAACATCCTCTATTCATTTATCTTACTAGGAATAGTTAGCATTCTACCTCAAGGAGCCATCACATTTTTTTTTTTTCAAATAGGGCATAGGAATCGGGGGAGAAGGGAAGGCCAGTCATTGTCATGAGAACTTCCCCCAAAGCACAAGGTTGTCCAAAGAATGACCGGAATGTTTTGTGTGCCCCAGAACCACACTGCACCAGGGCAGCTTTTGTGGTTATTCACTCATCTGTGTCTTGATATCTAAGTCCTTCTTTATAGTAGAGACCTAAGAATCTGAGGCCTCTGATACTGATCATCGATCATCAGCCTGATATATTGGATAAATAGGGGTGTTGGGAGCAGACTACAAAGGTCTCCTACTTAGCCTCTCTAGTGGTTTCCTATTAATCAGGCCCCCTTGCTTTATTATTGGACCTGAACCCTAATGCAGTTATTTTGATGAAATTCCGGTGCAGAAGTAAAAGGATGCTGATCTAATCTTGACCCACTTTTTTAATTTTAAAGAATATTCTCAGATGAGAATTTTAAATTTTCTGTTCTTCTTTGTTACCCAGATTCTTCTGTACATTTAGACAGATAGAAACTTTTACTGAGGAATCTTTAGTACAGTGTGGAATTAGGGTCTCCTTGGTGGCATTGGGGTTAAATTTCAGTGTTACTGGCTGATCCCTGGCCAGGGAGCTACCCACATGGCTACCCACATGGTGAGACCTCTCCTGTCTCACCCGCTGCTCCCCTCAGCAGTGTATTTCAGTAAATCTGCCTATTCTGCTCCCTGCTCTGTCTCTGCTCTTCCCCACCTCTGGCCTACACCCCAGTTATTATACAAGCGAAAAAAAAAAAAGGAATTAATGTATGAAGGATGAAATTAATGTATAAAGGGTCAGTGGCAGGCCTACTCTGGATACCCAAGAAGATAAGAGGGTGCAAATTAGGGCAGCAAAGTTGCCTCAACTGTAGTTTGGTAATTGTGTCAATATGAGCCCCTTAGTTTAAAATGTAAAGCTACAATGAAAAGTTTAGGTAAGTGGGGTTGTCATAGATCAAGGTCTTTGTCTATAAGAACACAGGAAGGAGAAACATACACTGCATTTCACTGACTCTAAGCTGTGGAAATGGTTATTTGATGTTGGCCTTAGTTTTCATTTCAGCCCCTGAACACACCAGTGTTTTCTTGCTTTCGTCTTTCGCATTTATGTAAAATACTAAAGCAGCACCAGTTACCCCACCCCTACCACACACCCAGATTCCTTAGGCAGTGACTCATCTTGTTTCCCTGGGCATCTTGGCATCAATGGTCAGTCCTGGATTTGGGTGGAGATGTACAGTCATTTAAATCCTCTCCGAAGCCAGTCTTTGATAGCCAAAACGTCCCTGTCAGGAACTCCTGACACCCAGAATTAACTTGTACTTAAAAACATCTCTTAAAGAACATACCCTCACCATTGTTCTGTGGCGAGCAGCCCAGGCCTGCACACTTACAGTGCCAGGAGATTCTATACCCGTGAAGACCGCCTAAGCTGGTGGGAGCACAGGGCAGGGCTTTTTTGCACATAACCAGTTTATGTGCTTAGTGACTCCCCTTGAACTTTGCCAAATGCAGCAAATTCCAAATTTATTTGATTGTTCAGGAAAAGAGCCATGGTATGAGACTGTCCTTTTTCAATACAGCGAGGAAAATACTAAAACATTTTTCTCAGCATCATCTGTTGAGGCTGTAACTCCAAGACTGTGGTATGCCTGTAAAGAAGTTCCTGTGTATTTACTATGGGGGACCCAAGTGCTGGCCTGTGCTTCAGCTGGACTCCATTCCCTGCCACAAAATGCCTCTTACCTGGGCCTTACCCCTTCGTTTAGATAGTGGTGCCTAACTATGTAAAGCTTATTTAGATTCTGTGATACCACCTGATTTTGACAATATTCCTAGTCCCTTATCTGGCATTGACCATATAGTACCTAGTATTGTTGATACTTCATGGAGATGTTTCCCAAAGTTAGATTAATGCCGAGGGCCTCCCCAGCTGTGCAGTGGGTTGAGCGCAGTGCTGTGAGGCTGTCCGCAGCCTCTGGAGCGCGGGTTCGATTCCCACCAGCCAGGGAGCAACCCACATGGTACAGCAGACCTCTCCTGCCTCGCCTGCTGCTCCCCTCAGCAGTGTCTTCGGTCCATCTACCTGTTCTGCTCCCCACTCTGTCTCTGGTGAATCCTCTTACTCTCTCACGCCTCTGGCCTGTACCCCAGTTCTTGTATTAAAAAATGCTGAGCATTGGGTAAGTCAGTCACTTGTGGCTCATAAACTACCTGAAAATCTCCCCTCCCCCCGACTCCCATTTTAAGGAGTAATGTGAGATCTAAAGTTAGGACTGAGTCCTAAAGGTGAAATTGAAGTCTAGGGAAGACTAAACTGAGGCCTAAGTGTTCTCCTTGCCAGATCTGTCCTCAGACGATCAGAGGCAGGTGGGACAATACATTGGCTTACCTGGTTTAGTCTTAGCAGTGTTTCAAAATAAGCAGACTGACATAAGTTTCTTTTTGTTGAGCATGCTCCTGAGTCTAGGTCAAGCTGGCAATATTTTCAGTGAAGGGTCAGAGAATATTTAGGCTTTACAGGGCTCATTCAATCTCAATTGCATGTTAACCCTTCAAAATGTGAAAACGATTCTTAGCTTTTGAACAGACCTCACTCTAGCTTAAAATGTAGGGGTGGGAGAATCTCTTAAGATTATATAGAGTATTAAGAGACTCTAGTAGCATTTTGCAGTTAAGTGTTACAAGGTCAGTCAAGAAAAACTAAAAATAAACCAGGTTAAAAAAATGCCTTGTTCCAAGGGACGACAGTGATGAAGTATGGGTGCTTTGGTGGTGGGAGAATTATATACTGTTCAAAAATTTATAATGTAAGAAAAAAGTACTTCATTTACAATTAGATTCTTTTATGGGAGCTAAATGTTTCTTCAGAAATTTTAGGCAGAAAGTTTATATCTTACATGGGCATTGAATTTCCTTAAAGAAAACCTATGTATACATTTTATACAATAGTGTATACACCTGATTTCCCCCCCAGTGTGGCCCTGTGCAATGGAAAGCCCTCAGTGTATTTTCCAGGTCTTTGCTGTGTGCCTCATGCAACTATAGTGAGTCTGTTCATAAAGTAATTCACAACTGTAGATTCTGTGGATTAGGAGGATGGCCTCTCTGCAGCTGGCCGCTTACATGGTGGTTATTTTTCCTATAACCCTCCTCTCTCAGCTCAAATACCTGGTTATTTTGAGCAAAATGACTCTGTCCTTATTGCCTAATAGTGTAAGAAATTGCCTTTATGAATCTCTAGTAATATCCCAGCTAATAACCTTCTATTTCTTTAAAAACATCAGGCATTGTAGTTTATTTCTATGCCATTATCACTAGGTTTTGTTTTGCTGTGATTGCACACTGCACCAAACCTGCACTGACCAAACCTGCACTGAGGGTAAGATTTTTGTTTTCTGACCAGAAGCCCACCCTGGAAGGCGACTCACAGGATGCTCACACTTGCTTAGGTTGTTCTTCTGAGAGCAAAAGCTACACCTGGAGCCTCGTGTTTTCACAACGGCCAGGAAAGATGCCTCCTTTCAATGAGCACACTCTTGGGTGGATTCCTGGCCAGCTCTTAGAAAGTGAACTCATCTAAAACCGGGCAAATGCACAGTTGGGGGTTTTACTTGATTTCCTCTGAGCTCTTGCTTTGACTCACTGCTCAAGTTCCAACCTAGTTTTTTTTACTAGAGACAGGGAGGAGAGGCCTCGTGGCTTTCTTTTGAGGCCCTAAGGTTGATTGGGGACCTGTTCGTATCATTTCCTCCTATGGTAACCCTCTGTCCTGTCCCTTCTGATGGAAAAGGGGGAGGGAAGTGTGTAAACGTTTGACTTACATGATGTATCTTTTTTCTTATACTTTTATTTATTTTTTTAATTTTATTTTTATATTCCCC